ATACGAATCTGCATGCCATCCGGGTGAGTCATCGCATCCGGCTCTTTACACAGATCAAGCAGAGTACGGGCAACACGTCCTGTAACATCCATAAATGCCAGATCGCCGACCTTAATAGTTGTCTTGCGCAGGCGCTCCGATAGCTGCTTACCCAGGGCATACAGCAAGCGGCTATCCTTTTCAGTCAGTTCCTGAAAACGGCTGTAACTGACCTCAGCAATTTCGCAGTCCGTTTTAGCTTTAACCCAGGCACTGCGTGCACCTTCGTTAAATAGCCCCATTTCACCAAAAAACGATCCTTCGTTCAGATAGGCAATAATCATCTCATTACCTTCCTCATCTTCAATGGAAACGGTTACCGATCCCTTTGTCAGATAATAGATCGATCGACTTTCAGCCCCGGCACTGATCACTGTTGAGCGCTTATTGAAACTCCGGCGGTGGCTCAGAGCCAGAAAGTCCTCCAGCCCCGGAATCTCCTCTTTTTGTACGGCTAACATATTTTTACCTTTATCAGAAGGGTCTGAACCAGGGGCCTTAATCAGCCCTGCCTGAATCACTCAGGCTATGGAGTCAGACACTTGCAGGTTTTTTACAGATCGTCCATATTCACAGCCTGTATTGTAAACTTATTTTTATTTTTTTTTCTGCCCTTAAGGAGACAAAAAGTCGATGAAAGCTACAGTAAAGTGGACAGATGGCGTACAGTTTGTGGCCGAATCCGGTTCAGGTCACGCTCTGGTGATTGATGGAGCTCCGGATCATGGAGGTCGTAATACCGGTCCACGCCCAATGGAATTACTGTTAATGGGGCTGGGTTCCTGCAGTTCTTTTGATGTCATTGCCATCCTGAAAAAATCCCGCCAGGATATTCTGGACTGTCGGGCAGAAATTGAAGCAGAACGGGCAGATGCTGTACCTTCCGTATTTACGAAAATTCACCTGCACTTTGTTGTCACCGGACATAACCTGAAAGAAGCTCATGTTAAACGAGCAGTAGAAATGTCAGCCGAAAAATATTGCTCTGCATCTATCATGCTGGCGGCAGGCGGTGTCGAAATCACTCATGATTATGAGATGATTGATCTGAACA